GTGTGGCCTTGAATTTACAGAGATCCAGACATCTGTCTCCTGAGTGATAGGATTAAGGGTGTGTGCCGTCACTGTCTGGCCTCTATGTCTAATCTAGTGGCTGGCTCTTTCCTATGACCCCCAGATAAGTTTTATTGGGGTGCACAATATATCACATCTCTTTATTAGACCATCAGGTATTTTAGACAAGCGCAGTAACACAGCTTTACAGAGTTAAACAAATGCAACATAAAAGAATGCAACATGGGGTTGGAGAGATGGCTCAGAGGTTAAGAGCACTGACTGTTCTGCCAGAGGTCCTGAGTTCAATTCCCAGGACCCACATGGTGGCTCTCAACCATCTGTAATGAGATCTGGCGCCTTCTTCTGTGTACATAATAAATAAATAAATCTTTTAAAAAAATAAAGGAAAAAAATAGTCAAAAAAAAAGAATGCAACACATTTTTGCATCATTAAACAAATATTCCACAGCATAAATGTAACACATCTTAAGCTAATATTCTACAACACTCCACCAACTGGGGACTAACTGTTCAAATATCTGAGCCTATGGGGGACATTCTCATTCAAACCACCACGTTTCCTCAATCATGGCGACCTTTTCAACACAGGTTCTGTGTATAGGTTGCACCACCACGAGGAAGACTCGAATCTCCCAAAGTCAAAAGGAGACAACCCTTAACAGAATCAACAGCACTGAGGGTAGATCCAAGAGGGCCTGGAAGTGGTCAATCTGTCTGGCTCCAGCTCCTCTACTTTAGGGAACTATGTGCTGCTGAGTTCCATAGCTAGTGAAACCTCACTCTTTCGTGAAGCAGAGAATCAGTGTTGAGACCCACCTGGCTAGCAACCACTGCTGCTCTTCCCCATTGGCCAAATGGCAGAGGTCCAAAGCGTATTTAAATCACATGCCTGGCTCTTGGTCTATCCTGGTTTTACTTTCTATCACAATGCCCCAGCTGCTAACATGTGAAGAGCCCACCACATCTGTGGTGCACAATGCTGGGTAATGCTGATGGTCAGCAGGACAGAATGCACACTATAAACCTCTGGGCATGCCTGTGCAGAAGCTTTTAGATTAGGTTAACTGAGGAGGGAATATGGACAGCACATTCTCAGGGCCAGACTCCTGAACTAGAGGAAGCAAGAGGAGCAACATTCATGTCTCTCTGCTTCCTGACCGTAATTGCCACGTGACTTCTGCTGCCATGGCTTTCCCACCCTCGTGGTCTGTACCTGCACACTGTGGGCCTAAACAAACCCTTTGTCGTGTCATAGCAGTGAGGAGAGTACCTGACACAGCATCCTTCCTCGCCCAGAGGAGACAAGATTAACATTTCAGATGGGACTGGAACATGGGTGTGAGTGTGCATTCCTTCCTTCCTTTGTTTCTGAGGGTGGTGACAAGCTCTCATCATGCAGCACAGGGTGGCCTGGAGCTCCTGATCCTCCTGCCTCAGCCTCCCAAGTGCTGGGGTTCTAGGTATGTGCCGCCAGGCTTGTGCCTACTATGTGTTGTGTGTCCCTGTTTTTCTTTGTAGGTGTGCAAGTGTGCACATAAACATGTGTGTTTATGTGTCTATAAGCCAGAGGTCGATGTAAACTATCTTTGAGAGCTCTTTGTCTTGGTTCTTTGACACCAGGTCTCTTACTGCACCTGGAGCCGCTAGACTGGCTGGCCAGCTGGTTCTGGAGTCTTCCTGCCTCTCCCTACTGTAGATGTATGGCCATGCCTGGGGTTGCATGTGGGTGCTGGGGATCCAAACTCACTTCCTTATGCTTGCCCGGCAGTCTGTTTACCAGCCGAGCCATCTCCTCAGCTCCTAGGGTGTATTTTAACAGGAAGAACCCAAAAGCCCAAAGGCTGTCCTTGACACTTTATTAAGCCACAAAACGTGTAGATTTGGTATAGCATTGTTGAAAGAGAATGACTTTTTAATTCTATACTTTTCATGTATCTCATAAATCAGACTGCTCAATAAGCCAGCTGTATTTTTCAAATTATATTCATTGCAAGGAAGAGAAGAGAGGAAGGTAATTCATGACCTATTCAGTGACAGGGGTCACCTTGCAAACCCTCCTTGACTCTGTCCAACTGACCATGGGATCTGGACTCTTTACCAGAAGTTCATTTTTAATACATTCAATCCCTGAGAATAAATATCTCAGATATTACACTCTGCTTGGTTTATTACCTCTATAGATTTTTAGGGCTGGTGACTGGCACTTTTGCTGAAGTGATTTATGGTCTCAGTGGCACAGGAGACTGCCTGTTACTAGACTCAACATTTAGTCTTCATTTGACATAATAAACATAAAAATACTTATTAACTGGGAGGTGGTGGCACATGTCTTTAATCCCAGGACTCGTGAGGCAGAGGTAGGTGGATCTCTGTGAATCCCAGGCCAGCCTGGTCTACAGAGCGAGTTCTAGGACAGCCAGGGCTACACAGAGAAATTCTGTCTTGAAAAACCAAATAAATAAATAAATAAAAATAAAATAAATAAATAAAATATAAGAAAGCACAAAAACATTGTTTTATCAATCTATTATTTAAATTGTTTTGTAGTACTGGAGATAAAACTTAGGTCCTTGTGCATGCTTGGTCAATGCTCTGCCCCTGAGCCACACACCAGCCCTCAGGACCCCGTGAAGGGTGAAACAAGTCAGATGCTGACCAATCTCAGGATATTTCTACCGTGGTAGTGAGTCAGCCTGGGGTGTCATGGCCGTGGCTCTGTGGGTGAAGTGCCTGCTGTGGCAGTATGAGGAACTCAGACCCAGGACCTACGTAAAAGCTGGGCACGGTGGCAGGGACATCTAACTCCATTGCTGGGGCTTGGACATGTGAGATCCCTTAACGCTCTCTGGACAGTTAGCTATCTGATGGTAAGCTTCAGGGTCAGTGAGAGACCCTGCTTCAAAACAAACACCCCTTCAAACTCTCCACACAACAGCAACAAAACAGCAGGGTGGAAAAGCAACCGAGGAAGACATCCTGATATAAACTCTGCATCTACTATTGTATACACAGGTCAGTGCATCTGCACACATCTGTGTAACACGTGCGCACACACACACACATACACACACAGAGTACAGAAATAACAAAAGACAGACACATCCATGTAACACACACAAACACACAGAGTGCAGAAATAATAAAAGACAAGGTGGAAGGTATTGAGAGGTGCCTCAGGTTGATGGTGTCTTACCCAAGGCAACTGGACTCCTGCCCTGTGCCTCTTGGTTTTAGGAGACCCTACTCCAGGTCAAGGCTGTCTCACTAGGAGCCAGAATTTGAGAACCCAGCCAGATGCTTCATCTGTTTGTCAGCATAAATATTCACACACTCATTTGTTCAAGTTGCCCTGACTTTGTGTAAGGGAAGCTTTCGGGATTTAGGCCAGCAACGACTGAGCATCCGTTGGATGTGAGCAAGGACCACCACAGAATGCAGCAGGCAATGACAGATGCCTCCATTCTAGGGCCATCACCTCAAGACTTTATGACTCAGGGCCCATCTTTTGAAGGTTCCCAACATTAATATCACAAATGTAGACAGGATGACTTGTATCATGTGTAAGGCGCCTCTAACTTACTAAATTCTTGTTTTCTGTGGACAACACAGCAGTCATATCTGTGGGCTCAGTTGGTAGCAGGGAGAGGGGCAGGGAGAGGAGGAGGAGCGTGGGAGAGGGAGGGGAAGGCAGTGGGAGTGAGTACTGGCAGCTTCATGCTGAGACTCTAACCTGGCATTTCCTGTCTGTTCTTTGCTACCTTGGAGGCCTTCTAAACACCTTTCTGCCCCAATCGTCTTTGAACTGTAAGACAAAACGACACCACTGAACTCTGCATTTTGGTCAGCTGCCTTTGGCTTATGCCGCTGCCGACGCTCTCTCTGCTCTTTCGCATCTCTTGCTCTATGCGGATTGCTTGGTCAGCATTTTTAATTTTTTATTGAGGGACTAGTGTCACAATCACCACGGTGTTAGCCTCTTCCGTGTCTTCCACAGGGTAGAACCAAACACTTCTAAAACGGTGCTCGAAGAGGTAGATTGACACGCAGCAGAGAGGGCACCCAGGACTCCATCTCAGGGGCTACAAGTTCCATCACTTACCCTTTATCTAGTTACCCTCACTTGGAGTTACAAAGCTCAGCCCTGCTGAACCCTCACTGGCAACGGTGACCCACTGACGATCACCAGGGTGGTCGCTGCGCAGCGGCTGCCCCCAGCCATAAACTTGAGAAAAACTGGACCCAAGAATACACTCCACAGGAGCACTCCCTCCCTCCCTCCGTCTTTAGCTCCTTTCCATCTGTGTCTTCCTCAACCCTTTCCTCCTCTCGATCAACAACTTCCCTACCCAAACATACATCCACCCCGACTCCAGCTTTTCTCCGTCAGGGGTCCTCGGGCCCCTGCACTGCGCGAACCCCACAGTGGCCTCTATCCCCCAGCGCTTGCAGGTTCGTGCACTCAGCAGGACTGTCACCGCGCGCTCCAGGTCCCGCCCCATGGAGAGCGGCTGCTTCGCGCCCTCTTCCCAGTCGGTGTCCTAAAGGCGGGTTCCACCCGAGCCTTCGGGTCGGCAATTCTCCTCCAACCCCCTCCAAGTCCCCTACCTTTCGCAAACAGGGATTGTCGCTGCGTGCTCCGGGTCCTCCCCTCTACTCTGGCTGCACCGCACGCATCCCTTCCCGGCCCGGCTGGGTCCCTCCTGAGCCCACCGATTCGTCTTCCCTCCCTTCCCCCAGTCCCTCCAGACTGTTGCACGCACCCCGGGGCCACCCCTCCAAGATCACCCCGAGCCCCTGTCCCCCGCCGGGTCCCCGCGGCCCCTGCAGCGCCGCCCAGCGTGGTTCCTGAACCTCTGTCCAAGCGGCTTCAGGGTGGCCCGTCCCTCGGGAGCTGGCCCCGCCCCGGCCCCGCTCCGCCCCCGGCCGCCTAGGCTTGATTGGCCGCGCGCCCCCCTCCCGGGGCTCCTCCCCGCCCCCTCGGTCCGTGGGCACCGCCACCTGGTCCAGAGAGTCCCCCGAGGGGACCTAGAGGCTCCACTCGGGCCGGGCGCGCACTGTGGGGACGAGGAGGGAGCGCGGGCCGGGGAGGAGGAGCGAAGGTGTAGGACAGAACTTCGCCAGGAACAGGAAACCTACGGCAGGGCAGGGGCGGCGACGGCGGCGCGGGGCCATCGCGGTGTCCCCAGCAGTGGCCTCGCTGCCGCGCGCCGAGGCTGAGCTGTTCGGACTCCTCGGACCCCACGGGCCTGAGCTCACCCTTGCGCGCAGCGGAGATAGCGGGGACGGCCACAGGAGCGTGAAGCAGCATGTCTGACAAAATGTCCAGCTTCCTCTACATTGGGGACATCGTGTCCCTGTACGCGGAGGGCTCGGTCAACGGCTTCATCAGCACCCTGGGGTAAGCAGGACGCGCACTGGGCAGCACCAGCCGGTCCAGGTCCCTGTCCCTCCCGCTCGGCGTGTCCGGGGTCTGCGCCTGGGACAGCCCCGGGTCCCTTAGGTCCCCGCGCGCAGGAAGCCGCGAGCGCTTCTCAGCAACTTCGTAATCTCCAGCCCGAGACACATCCGAGAAGAGGAAGTGGTTCTCACGTCCCAGACAGGCCCCGCGAGGCTGCCTTCCCTGGCGTCTCCTGCCTTGTTTTTATTAAAGTCTTTTCTCCTGTCTTCCCCATAGCGCCCGGCTGGAAAGAGTGGTGGGTTGAAGTCCCTGGCTTTGGCCACGAAAGTAGGCGATGTTGCATAGTGCAAATGTGGCTTTGTCCTGCTCCAGGAGATCACCAGCCCCTCTTCGCTGAAGTAATTTCCTTTTGGCCTTGCCAAGGGAAGACTCACCCCTTTGGCTTTGCCAAAACGGCCTTATGGGCAGCCGGGGTTCTAGAACTTGGATCTTCTTTTTCCCTTTTCATGCCCTCGGTCCAGTGAACTGAAAGGCTCTCGAGATTCGAGTTGGTGTATATGAACTGGGGAAATACATATGTATGTCATACAGAAAACCAGCGTGCTAGTTAAGTAGGGCCTTTTCTGATCTCTAGAAATCTCCTACATGGTGTGCATGCCGATGCACAGTAATTGCGCCTTGCGATTTACTTTAGTGCACATGTGGGTTTTGGTTACTTCACGGGTCTTAGCTCTTTAGACTCTAATCAGGGAGACTCGAGGCTGGTGACCGTTTGCTGTTAAGTTTTGGAGTCCTGTCCCCCGGGCTGTGACAGGGTTGCCTGCCTATGCCTTCCTTGGAAGGCACCAGTGGCTCCATAGTTCCTGTTCTTTGTGCATATCCCCACAGATTTCGGAGAGGAAGGTAGGTTTAATTGCATATCTTGTTACTCTGGAGATTGAAGTGTGGAAGAACTTAGTGCAAGTGTTTGCTCTGGGTCGAGCTGTTCCTGAGAGAATTCACACTCCAAGTCCAGTTTGGGTCTAGGACAGTGCTTTGCTGAGGAATTCTATCAGACTTGCACTTAAGCCTTGACAGACATGGAAGGTGTCTGCCATTTAGTACCTAAAAGGAGAGGCTCTAGACACAGAAGGGTTGGACTGGAATTCCCACCCTTTGACTTGCAAACCTTATGTCCCTGGGCAGGTTATGAAATCTATCTGGGCGTCCATCTCCTCAGTCTAAAAATGGGACTCAGAGTGGTTTCTACACAGGGGTGTGGGGAGCAAAGAGGTAAAGTGCTTAGCATGGCAAGGCTGTAATGACTACATTCACAAGTTAATTAGCTGAGGCAGTAATTATCACCATCTAGACTAGGCAAGAGTTCAAGGTCTAGGACGACTCTGATTCTGTAGGGTCACTCTGCAAGGGCATATGTGGGTAATGTAGGAAGCAAATGCTGGAAGGGCTGAGGTGGTCAGCTCCCATGGTCTGGAGTTGTCTATAGGCATTGTTGAGACCAGGAGAAGTGACCAATTCAAGAAACAGGGCATTCATGTCCAAAGCCAGAACTCTACTCCTGCCATAGACTCCTGCTTTCATGTAACTTTGGACAGAAAAATCAGCACGAATGCTGTTCCCTCAATGGCATCAAAGGTCCTTACTGTACTCAGTGTTTCTTGCTGGTGATTTGAAAGTGGGGTTTCTTTAGAACGTGTTCTCAGGCTGCATCATTCTCTGTTCATGAAATAATAGTGTTGAGATCACTGGCAAGGCAGAGTCCAAGTTGAAGAGAATCTTGACCATGCTGCCCTGGGTGGAGCTTGGTGCTTTGATTGGATATCTGTCTTTTGAAGTAGACTTCTCGGAGGCTCAGGTAGCTCATAGAACTTTAGAGGTCAGTGTGATTGTCTCCCCCCCTTCCACCCCCCTACCACTCCTGCACTCCAGTATCTACAGGTTTTCAAAGAGTGGTTACAGAAGTTATTGCTGATGTCCCCTGATACAATTTTCTGGCCCTCGGTGAATAATGTTCAAAGGGCACTCCAGGGCAACCCAGTAACATGGACTTCAGTGGTTCAAATCTCATGAAGTAATGCAGAGTATACAGGTCCTGTGACATTTTACTCGACAATACATCTTTATAACTGTGGCAGTACTTTCTGTTTGGAAGAGCAGGCTATTTCTTTCACATCTAGGAAATACCCAATAGTGTTCAACCTGAAATTTTAATTATCTTATCAATACAAGCAACGTTGTGAGATATGCAAGTAATGTAGAAACGTCAAAGATGCTTCCAGAAAATGCCTGGCACGTCCACCGAGGCTTAGATTCTAAGGAAATTATCTCATTGATTTTTATTAATATGTAGTTTCAAAACTAGGAATTCTGTCTTATAAAATAATTTTTTCAAAAATCAGGAGTGAAAAGTGTCAACTATTGAGAAATAATTACATTTAATTTTTGTAATGGTTTAATTAAGGTCCTAGAATGTATGGTCAGTTTCCCATTGTTATATCAAAACACCTGAGATTATCAGTTTACAAGGAGGAGTCATTTTTGTCCTCACAGTTCTTGAGGCTTCATTTCTACAGTCCATGGGTTCTGTTGTTTTGGGACCACAGTGGCACAGTATAGATTGTAGGTGTCTGTAAAGAGGGGGGCAGGGCTAGGGTGTGCTCCCAGTGTGTGTGTGTGTGTGTGTGTGTGTGTGTGTGTGTGTGTGGTGGAGGTGAGAGGCTCAGCTGTATAGTTTTTGTCAGCTTAGGGCAAACTACAGTCACCTAGGAAGAGGCAATATCAGCTGAGGAATTGCCTCTATCAGATTGGTCTGTGGACATGTCTGTAAGGCATTTTTCTTGATTGATGATTTATGTGGGAAAGCCCAGCCCACTGTGGGCGGAGTCAACTCCGAGCAGGTGGTCCTCGGGTACATAAGACAGCAGGTCAAGCAAACCAGGGAGAGCTAGGCAGGAAAGAGCGTTTCTGCCTGACTTCTGCTTCAGTTCCTGTCTCCAGGCTTCTGCCTTGAGCCTCTGACTTGACTTCCCTCCACGATAGACTGTAACCTGTAAGCCACATAAACCCAAGTTGCTTTTTGGTTAGTGTTTTATCACAGCATCAGAAAAGCAAGCTAAGACAGAGGCCTTCTACCTTGGCCCCCTGCTCAGTAGTAACAGGAGCTAAGGGCCTGTAACACATGGATCTTTGGGGACAAACTGGGACAATTATTATTTTGTAGGTTCTTTTTATTGTTTGTTTGTGGCTGTGCATGATTAAATTTTTCAAAGTTTTTTAAAATTAGCTTATAAAGAATTAGGCTTCATTATGGTATTTTCCAAATATTTTTGTCTGTTTCTCTTCCCCATTCTTCCCCCTTCCCCTCCCTCCCCTACGCCCTCCCATCCCTTCCCATCCCACACGTGATCGCTTCATGCATGGTTTCAACATGTAGGACTTGATTTAGCTTGGGGAACAAGCAGGGTGTATGCCCAAGCCAAATAAAATAATTTTAAAAGTCTTTTATCTTATTATTCTGTGTGTACGGGTGTTCTGCCTGTCTGTGTGCCACGTGTGTGCAGTGCCTGTGGAGGTCAGAAGAGGTCGTTGGATCCCCGGAACTGGAGTTACAGATGGCTGTGAGCTGCCACATGGGTGCTGGTAATCGAACCCCAGTCCTCTGCGAGAGCAGGCCTCCTCTCGGAGCCTCACAAGTGAAATCTTATGTGGGCAGTGGTTGGAGTGTTCCCCCTTGTCACAGTGCAATTGTTAGAGATTTTAGGGCTGTAAAGCCAGAGCAGAGCAGCGCTGTTTCCGTCTACCTGTTGCCATCTTCACTCACAGGCCTTTGTGTCAAATGCGGAGTAGAAACTCCTCTGTGAGTTTCCTTGCCCCTCCGCTCCTGTCTCTGTTGTCTTGGGTCTGCTGCTAACTGGCACATGACCTTGTTGGTATCATGTATCTCTTTGCGTGTCAGCCTCATGTTCCTGTCTTGGAGAGGAAGGATTGTAGATCGTATCCTCCCTCTCCTTGGAGATATGATAAAATTGAACACAAGAGACAAATGAAAAGTTTGTGGAAAAAAAAATGTATGGGGAAAAGCTGTATTTCTGTATACACATTCACAAATTTTCTTCAATGGCTAAGGAACTGCTGGAGCGAAGTAGACCAGAGTCTAGTCCAATAACCACGGTGTTGCACGTGTTTAACCAACTGCTTTTGCTCCACTGTAGCATTACAGATTTCAGGGGGTAGCTAGAAATGGGGCGTGAAAGTCTCTGGTTTCCACTTTAGCTTTTCATCCCTCTGACACTCTCAGAAGCATGGTGGGTTTGCCGATTGGAATCAGTGGGCGGGTGATTAGAGCTGGCTTTACACAGCGAAGATGTTTATTTGCAATTACATTTTGCCTACTCTTAATATTTTATGGTGTAAGTAAGTTTTAAAGGCTGTTGTTTGGCAGTGTTTGCAGTGGGGGCTCACTGCTTTTTTTTTTTATTTTAACACATTGCTTATGGCAGCGCTATGACAAAATGAGTCTCATCAGCTTTTCGGTGTGATTAAAACTACAGTTATGTCTGTGAGTACCTCATGTCGTGTGTACACACATGCCACAGCACACACATGTGGGGCTGGAGGACAACTTCTGGGATTCAGTTCATTCTTTCCTTGCAGTGTGACAGGTCTACGGGAGGGAACTCAGCTCATCATACTGTGAGTGCTGGTAGTCATGAGCCACTGTACTGGTCCTTCAGTGTGGTTTTAAAGTCCCTTGAACATTATGGTTGCGAATATCTATGTTTCTTCCAGTTTTCCTTTGAGTGGTATTTATACTTTGGAGACAGGATTTCTCTGTGTAGCCCTGGCTGTACTGGAACCTGCTTTGTAGACTAGGCTGGCCTCGAACTCACAGAGATCTGCCTGCTTCTGCCTCTCAAGTGCCGGGATTAAAGGCTTGTGCCACCACACCTAGCTGATGTTTCTTAATATAAGTTTTTATCTAACAATCTGTTTAGGATACC